TCTATACAGGTAGGATATAATTCAAGTTCTCATTTTTTTACTTTATTTTCTTTTCTTTTTTAATTTGGTTTTATTGATTTTGATCGTTTTCTTTTTTTTACTTTCTACTTTTATTTTTCTTTTTAATTTGGTTTCCACGTTTATTTCCAAGATTTTATTTTCTTAATTTTTGTTTCTCTTACTCCTTGTTTATTTATTCCCTGATTTGAATTTTTATTTTTGGATTAAAATTTTAACTTAATTTCATTCTCTTTGTTTTTCTAAAATAATTTTCCATTTTTTATTCAATATAATATTTCTATTTTTTATGTTTTTTTACTTTTCAAATTTATTTCTTTATATATTTATTTCGTATGTATAAATTCCTTTTAGTTTTAGCCTTTAATTTCTAGATTATTTGATTTCAATTCTAGATTAAAGTTCTTGACTTTAGACAAATCTTTTAGGTTTTTTATTTATTTAAGCCGTCATCTGGACTAATTGGGGGATAATTTAAAGTAATCACCACAAGTACTCTGGATTCTATTTTTAATTATTTGAGTATAATAAAATTTCCTAAAATCTAATTTAGGATTAATATTTGAGCCTTGACTTAGGTTTAGTACAATTAGATCCTTAACAAACAATTTACTCTTGACCTATATTAAGCCTTTAACTTCAAATTTAGTTAATTTAGTTCTTTAATTATAGTAATTAAGAAATTTATTAGGATTATAGAGCCTCAATTCTAGGTAGGTTTTAGTCCCTTAAAAATAGGATCAATAATTTATTTGATTGTTTGCATTGCATTGATTTTAAAATAAATAAGGCAATATTAGTTTATTAAGAATTTACAATATAACTCACACCTTTGCCCGGAGGACTATTGTGAATTTCCTAAATAAATTAATACCTTTTTTAATTCACATCATGATTCCAAAATTGATGTGATATCTATTATTAGGGATTGATAATATAATTTTCGCTTATGCCCAGGGAGGATTGTCATTAGTTTCTAATAAATTGGTAACATTTTCAAAAATTGCATCATGGTGGATCATTATTTAAATAAAAACTCGAACTCATAAATTTCTAATTATGTAATGGTTCGGCTAAGTAGTGTCCTTATGATAATACTTGATGTTTTAATGATAAACTATGTCCTTAATCCTAAAAGCATTGAACCAATTCAACCAAGTGTGAAAGGCCTTTGAAAATCCATGTTTTTTTATGAAGTTTCATGACTATTAATGAAGATTCATGTCCGAGTCTGAATGGTTAGGTGGAGTTTTTTGAATGTTTTTTGATACTTTATATTCAATTTAGGCACAAAAATGAGTGCATGCGACTCCTAAGCCGAATGCACAAGATGCTTGGGTGAAGGTGTTCCTTTAGTGTTTTGGCACCAACTTGATGCACATGAGAAGCAAATGGTTTTTGGGAGGTAACTTGAATATGTAGCTAAGTAGGTAGGTAATGTAGTAGCTAGGTACCTAGTGTCACTCTACCAACTCCAATTCCCATCCAGCTAGCTCAGCTCCACTTGTCAGCTCCCCGGACTTTAGATTATCTCCAACTAGACTCAGCTCCATGTCAGCTAGGTTCAACTGATTTAGCTTGTCCTTTTAGGTATATGAGCTTCATTTCCTTTGCTTTAAGCTAATTGTGAGCTACCATGCTTTGATTTTAATGCTCCCAAGCTGCCCCAAGGTTCCTCGCTAATGTGTGCACCTATGCAAATCATGAAAGCAAGTAAATTATACTTGTGTGAACTAGGAATAATACTTATGCATGCTACCACCTATGATAAATATGTAAATATGCTAAGAATAAATGCATGAGCTCTTTTAAACATAAAATGAGTTAGGAAATCAATGTATACATGTTGTCGAATGATACATATGATATGCAAGTCTGAGTAAACAATGTGTATACATGAATTAAGATAAGTAAAGATTATGATACATATGTTATGCATGAAAATCACATAACATGCATATCATAGAACATAATGAATGATGAGCATATGATAAGCATGTCCTAAGATGTAAATGCAAACATATGATAAGATTTAGTTCATAAATGAGAAAATATGATATTAAGTAAGGTAAAACTTCCTTAGAATTGCTCTCAAAGTCTTTCAATAGTGTGACCAAATCAAAACGAAAGTTGGGAATTATTTAGATCACATCAGCTCCAAATGGCTACAAATGAATTAGAGGACATAAAAGGTGCTAAGATTCAAATGAAGAATAATAAGAAACAATATTGACAGATTATACCAACATCAGAAGAGTTTTAAAGTTCATTTTCTCATATTCTTTGTAACACACTTTTTTAAAGCTTATTTTGTCATATTCTTTGTAACACACTTGTCGAGCTCCTTGTTTATTTTGCTCAAGTATGATATTGGTGAGAGTTAAATTTTGCGAACATATTTGGCTTGTAAAAGTTCTTTTTGTTTTCTTCATTTGTAATTACTCTTTGGGAGATTGTGTAAGTTAAGGTTTTGGGGTATAAACCTTGAGTGTTTGTAAGGTTACAACTTGTCCTTAATGGTAAGCAAATCTCATGGATTTGAGAAATCCTTAATGTGGATGCTAAGATTGTGGATGTGGACTTGATTTAGAAGTCGAACCACTTAAATCATTGTGTAAATCTTGGATTATTTCAGTTGATCGAAAGAGATAACAATATTGTTCTTCAAGTAACTACACAAAAGTTATAGTATCAATAATAGGGTTAAACTTCAAAATCCAATAGCCAAATTTGGTATCGATACTTCGGGTTGGTATTTGTATTATAAGAGAAATATCAATACTCTAGGTGTGAGTATCAGTACTGAAAGGAAATTTTTAAACATCAAGAGAAAATTTAGTACAAGTAATAATGGAGAGTAGACATACCTTAAGGCTAGTATTGATACCTCGGGACTAGGTATTGATACTATCGAAGGGAGAAAGGGGTTAATAGCCTTATTTTACTAAGAGGTTCAAGAGAGGTATTGAGAGAACCCAAATTGAGTACTAAAAAGCCTATAAGTGAAAACGTTGAATAATTTGTGTGATAAACATATGAAGATTATGAGATAGGATTCTATAAAACTTATGTCTTTGTTTGACACTCGGGAGAAGACGAGGACACCTAAGATACTTGTGTATGAAGATTATCTTGTATCTATGAGAAAATATCCAGATATATCCAAATTAATGCGAGAGCACTTAAAATACTAGTCATATGTCGCTTTGATGCTTCATGAACTAGACACATCTCGTATACTCGAGTGTAAGATGTTGATACTTCCTGACCCAAGTCTCACCCTTGGTGCTTGGCTATAAGTGCCATAAAAAACATAATATTTTGATGATCCTTGAATCATATCTTACCCAGAGTAAATGTTTCATAAGTTAAAAGGGTGTGAGTCTTGTGAGGCTTAGGTGACCCCAAACTACATCATGATACATATTTGTTGTTGTTGTATGCTTGATGCATCTATGTTGTTCATGAGTATACTAGTTAGTATGCTCATTTAGTGAATGCATGTAATATAGCAGAATTATTTGTGCGACACTGATAAGTGCTTAATTTAGTTAATATTTTACTTTTAAATTACTCCTTAATCATTGATTTTTGCGGCTTATTTGTTCATTTTAATTCATTTTTTGTGCAGGACGTAAGATTCTGGAAATTGCTCTAAAATGAAGGCATTTTGCATTTTTTTAATTATTTGGTCACGGCTAGAGACATGGGCACGACTCTGGGCATGACACGGTCTGACGTGACAATTTCTAGAAGATTCAGTCAGCATTTCTAGAAGCATGAATAGATTGCCCATACGTTTCTGGAATTTGGATTTGAATTAAACTCAAGTTTAGGATAATATTTTAAACATTATATTTTATCTTTGTATTTTAGTTTAAATATGTTTTAGTATTTTAATTAAGTTTTAGGATATTATTTTTATATTTTATCTTTGTTTTTAGGTATTTTAGTTTAAATATGTTTTAGTATTTTAATTAGGATTTAGAATATTATTTTAAATATTATTTTTAGGTATTTTAGATTAAATAGTTTTAAGTATTTTAATTAGGATTTAAGATGTTTTAGCTTGTTTTTAGGAATTTGAAGGCTATAAATACCTTCGAAGGGTGAACCTAGAAACATATCTCTCATTTGAGAATAAAATCTTCCTTTTCTCTCTAGCTTTCTCTTTATTTTTCGCATACTTTTCTATTATGCTAAGTATAACTTTGGTTATGCTTAGCTAATTTTCTTCAAGCCGAAGGCTAAAGTGAAGGCTCAATTCCAAACGTGAGAATTGTAAGGTACTTAAATTGCTTCGGATTTTCTCTCTGTTTTCTGAGCTTACTTTTCAAATCAAGACGATTTCGACATTGGTCTGGATATTGTTATGGTTAATGTTTGAAGAAGGATTTGCTTATTGAAGCATATTCAACTTCCCGAGAACACACTTATCAAAATTGTTTGCTAAGAGGAAACTGAGATCGAAATCAGTTGTATTGAAGCGACATAATCCGGTTGGCAGCGAAGAATTGTTCTCGCAGTAACCGACGTAAATCTTGAAGTAAAAATCAATTTTGATGATTCGAGGAATTTGATACAAAGCTGAAGTCTGAGGCTGCTTTCACAATAAGTTTCTCTTTATCTCAATCTCTTTAATTTATTTATTTAATTATTTTTCTTTTATTTAATTCTTATTTTTTATTATTTAAAAAACAACTTTTAAAAATCCCCATTTTATATTTATTACTATTACTATTTATTATTATATTATTTTTCTCTTTTTTATTATTTATTTTATTTTAATATATCTTTTCAACTTTATCTGGAATTCTATCTTGTTCTAAAATCAAGAAAAAGTTTTATTAAATCAGAAACACCAAAGTCCCTATGGATCGACCCTTCTTCTCTATACTACCTTTTCCTTTTCATTTATTAAGAAGTCAGGAATTTTTTTGATAGCAAAACGACGGTTATCAAATTTGTGCCATTGTCGAGGACTAACAACAAGTACTAATTTATTTTTCTAGTTTTTGATTTATGACCAGAAGAAACCCAAGAAGACTACCTTCTTAAACGAAGTTAAATCCAAAAGATAATGTTAGTTCCATCACACTCAGAGTGGAAAAGTTATCTCACCCAAAGTTCCATTAGAAAAAGACGCACATCAGGAAGAACAAGAGGAAATGCCACCTCCAGAAATACAAGGTACGTTTGACTCACATCCTTTTCTTTCTTCTCATGAAATGATGCCACCACCATTCCCATCAAGGTTGATGAAGCGTGATAAAAGAGCTGAAGAAAAGGAGATCTTAGAGGTGTTCTAAAAATTTCAAGTCAACATACCTCTTCTTGAAGTAATTCGACAAGTACCAAGGTATGATCGATTTTAAAAGAACTTTGCACTATAAAGAGGAAATTAATTGGGCATGAAAAGGTAAATTTGGGAGAACATGTCTCTTCAATTTTTCAATGAAAACTCCCACCAAAGATGAAGGATCAAGGTATATTCACTATACCTTGCAAAATAGGTGATTTTAAAGTTAAACGTGCAATGTGTGACTTAGGAGCTTCAATCAACGTTATGCCATTATCTATTTATAAAATGATTACTAACGAGCCTTTGAAGGAAACGAGAATAACCATACAGTTGGCTGATTGGTCCGTGATCTATCCAGTGGTAATGATGGAAAATGTCTTAGTGAAGGTCGATATATTATTTTTTCCTTTAGATAAAGGGTGAGCCTAGAAACATATCTCTCTTGTTTGAGAATAAAATCTTCTTTTTCTCTCTAGTTTTCTCTATATTTTTCACATACTTTTCTATTATGCTAAGTATGATTTTGGTTATGCTTAGCTAATTTTCTTTCAAGCCGAAGGCTAAAGAAAAGGCTCAATTCCAAACGTGAGAATTGTAAGTTATTTAAATCGCTTCGAATTTTCTCTCTGTTTTATGATCTTACTTTTCAAATCAAGAAGATTTCGACATTGGTCCGGATATTGTTATGGTTAATGTTTGAAGAAGGATTTGCTTATGAAGCATATTCAACTTCCCGAGAACACACTTAGCAAAATTGTTTTCTAAGAGGAAACTGAGATCGAAATCAGTTGTTATTGAAATGACACAATCCAAGTTGGCAGTGAAAAATTGTTCTTGCAGTAACAGATGTAAATCTTGAAGTAAAAATCATTTTCGATGATCCAAGGAATTTAAGACAAAGCTGAAGTCTGATGATGCTTTCACAATAAGTTTCCCTTTATCTAAATCTCTTTAATTTGTTTATTTAATTATTTTTCTTTTATTTAATTCTTATTTTTTATTTAAAAAACAACTTTTAAAATCCCCCTTTTATATTTATTACTATTAATAATTATTATTATAATATTTTCCCATTTTTTATTATTTATTTTATTTTAATATATCTTTTCAACTTCATCTGAAATTCTATCTTATTCTAAAATTAAGAAAAAGTTTTATTAAATAAAAAATACCACAGTCCTTATGGATCGACCCTGCTTCTCTAAACTACATTTTCCTTTTTATTTATTAAGAAGTCAGGAATTATTTTGATAGAAAAACGACGATTATCAGATACTAAGCTTGTTAGCTCAGTGTTTAGAATGTGTTTTCATTCGTAAGTTCTTATATAGATACTCAAGGAGCTTATCATCGGGTTCATGATTCTAGTTTGACCGAGCTATCAGAGGACATCTTGAGAATATTTAGTGGACATGTACTATTCATTGATCTTATGTGTATTTGATTCTTAACTCTATTTTTTTATACTTATCATTATTTTTGGATATATTATTGAGAGCTCCCCCTTTTTGTAAACTTTATTTATTTATGTTTTAATATTTGGATTGAATGATGATTGTGTTTTTTATATGATTTATTGATTTAAAAAAATAGTTAGCCACTTCTATGATTCTTATTGATACTTTAATCCTTCAAACTTGGAGCCAGACTGAATACGGGTGTTACACACAGAGGTGCAAATCTTCATTCTCATTTTGAGTCAATATTCTTCATTCTTTTTCACACCATAGTATAAGTTCACAATTCTTGGCTCACAACAATTTGTTTTTCTTGTCCCAACAAACTCTTTTTTCCAATATTTATTTTTCCTCCTTTACCCAAGGTTTTTATTCTCAATTTTTGAGTCGAAGAAATCCTTCAAAGACATCCATGAATGATCATATTTTGTTTGAAAATTTCGTTTCATTTTTTTTGAAATTTGAAAGTTTTATATAGAGGTTTTAAAAAAGCAAAATGGTGGTCCTTACTTTATACTCACAATTGAAGTAAATCATCAGTTAAATGTATATCAAATAAATCGATCGCTCTTTTTTTCAAAAATTATAACCCTTTGAAAAGTTTCAGCAAGGGACGTAATTTGGTTTAGCTTTTCCCCAAACTTCAAAGGTTTCACGGTTGTCAATATTTCCATCAATTCCCAGTCTTTATGTATTTTAAAAAATGCCCTACTATTTCAACTTGATCTTCAAAGAATCATATGATGACAAAATGACATATCTTACACACACAATCACTAAACATTTTAGAGAGAGTTTATGGTTCAATTCTCAGACATATTCTATTTGTTCAAGTTTCATAAACTCCTTTAGCAACAACAATACATGAAATATTTCCCTAATAAAAATTCTCAAGTTCTTGTATATGGTTGACTATTACGAGTATTTCCCAAATTAGTTAGTTCATCTTCCACTAAACCTCATTCTCAATTCAAACTTTTGGTTTTAAAGTTTTTTTTACTAAGAGGTTCATCTCGTCATGATTTGAATATAAAATATTCATAAGTTAAAGCTCTCAACTTACCTCTTTGGCCCATTACTTCATTGAAATATCTACAATTTATTATTCCTAAAGATTCACAAATCTAAACAACATGAAATAGAGGATTCCAATTATAAAAAATTCTTTGAATCAACAATTTTCATCATACCTCACTTCATAAAGCTTGGACTTACCTTCATAGATTATCAATTACTTATAGCAGTGTCCCCAAAAAAATTATTCATTTATTTTTATTTAATACCTCAAGGAGTTTATCAAGTCACAATTAATGTCACGATTTGAATGTAACCCATTTCATGAAGCTTGGACATATCTTCATAGTTTCTTAGACTTACCTCCATAGATTATCACCTTACTAACTGTTGACGAAAACGGGTAAAGAAAACAAAAGAACACGAGAATTTTATGAGGTTCGGCAATGTGCTTACGTCCTCGGTGCCTAGGCGGCGCTAGAAGTTTTATTCAATGATATTTTAGGTATAGGTTACATCTTTATTTATAATAGAAAACCCTGGTACATAATTACAAAATTAACCCTGTACCGTACCGCGGGGCCGTAGCCCCCACACCCCCAACCCACATAATTCGTAACCCCACAACGAGACTGGTATATTTATGAGCCATACCTAACAAATCTCCACCTTGGCGAATATCCTGCCCCTTGGAAACTTCAATGTGGGTTGGGTTACCTTGCTTCTTTAACAACTCGAAACATTCAACAAGTCCAAGCAATGCTTGAACTTGTCTTTCGTAACTGGCTTGGTGAACATATCAGCGGCATTCTCATCAGTATGTACCTTCTGAAACAAAACCTCTCCAGATGCAACCAACTCTCTGATCTTGTAGAACCTTACATCAATATGTTTAGTTCTAGCACTATACACCTGATTCTTAGCCAAGTGAATAGCACTTTGATTATCACAAAGCAACTGAACTCCACCTTGTTGAACACCCAACTCCTTCACTAAACCAGTAAGCCATAAAGCTTCTTTTGCAGCTTCAGCCGCTGCCATGTACTCAGCTTCAGTTGTAGATAGAGCCACAATAGATTGAACAGTAGACTTCCACCAAGAGTAAAGACATACCCTGTCGTAGATCTTCTATTATCCAAGTCACCTGCATAGTCTGAATTCACATATCCTACAACCAAAGGATTATCCCGCTGACTCCCAAAAACAATTCCATGTCCCACAGTACCCTTTAAGTACCGAAAGATCCACTTGATTGCTTCCCAATATTGCTTACCAGGTTTAAACATGTACTTACAAACTTGACTAATAGCATGAGCTAAATCAGGACGAGTACATACCATCGCATACATCAAGCAACCAACAGCATTAGAATACGGAACCTTTGCCATATCTTCAGCTTCCTTATCTGTCTTAGGGCACTGTTCTGATAAGAGCTTAAAGTGATTCGCCAATGGAGTGCTAACTGGTTTCGCGCTGCTCATCGTAAACCTTTCTAGCATTTTCTCAACATAACCCCGTTGAGATAGCCGCAGTTTCCTTGAGTCTCTGTCCCTGCAAATTTCCATTCCAAGAATTTTCTTTGCAGCACCTAAATCTTTCATATCAAATTCCTGACTCAATAAAGTTTTCAAACCGATAACATCATCCATGTTCTTCGCAGCAATCAACATATCATCAACATACAATAATAGAAAAATAAAAGAACCATCATCAAGGCTCTTAACATAGACACAACAATCATACTCACATCGGTTGTAGCCAATCTTGATCATATATGAGTCAAACCGTTTATACCACTGTCTCGGAGACTGTTTCAACCCGTACAAAGATTTCTTCAATCTGTAAACTAAATGCTCGTTTCCAGGTTGAGTGAAACCTTCAGGTTGCCGCATGTAGATCTGCTCCTCTAAATCACCATGAAAAAAAGCAGTTTTAACATCCATCTGCTCTAAATGCAAATCCCAACTAGCCACCAATGCAAGTACTGCTCGGATTGAAGTGTGCCTGACCACAGGAGAAAAGATTTCATCATAATCAACTCCTTTCTGCTGTGAAAAACCCTTTGCTACCAAACGAGCCTTGAACTTCTCCCCCTCTTTTTCTGTTACTGATGGTTTCTTCTTATACACCCATTTGCAACCAATCGGCTTCTTACCCTCAGGAAGGGGAACTAACTCCCATGTGCGATTGTGATTCAAAGACTCCATCTCCTCAACCATGGCTGCCATCCACTTGTCATTTTCCTGACTAGTAACGGCATCATGAAAAGTAACCGGATCATCACTGCTAACAATAAGTGCAAAAGATACCAAGTCTTCAAAACCCAATATGTCGGAGGCTTTATATTCGCCCGTCTCACCCTGTCTCTGGCGAGACTATAATCTTGGAAATCATCCGTAGTGGAACCACCAGAAGTCGGTTGAGAAGTTTCTGGTTTCTCAACTGGAAACTGCTCGAAATCCACCACTGTCGTGTCTTGCTTCTGCTGCAACATAGATTGTTCATCAAAAAAACATCTCTACTAATCACAACTTTCTTCGCAACTGGATCCCATAACTTGAATCCTTTGACACCTTTCTTGTAACCCAAAAAATTGCACTCCTTCGATTCTGCATCAAGTTTGGATCTCTCATCAGCAGGTACATGCACATAAGCAGGACAACCAAAAATCCGTAAGTTATCAAAACTAACATCATGACCAGTCCATACCTCTTCTGTAACTTTCCCAGCCAGCGATGCCGTTGGCGATCTGTTGATAAGGTAACACGCCATGTTAACAGCCTCAGCCCAGAAGTGTTTGGGAAGCCCCGCATTCAAGCGCAAACATCTGGCTCTTTCATTCAACGACCTGTTCATTTGTTCCGCAACACCATTCTGTTGTGGTGTATTGCGCACTGTAAAATGCCTCTGAATTCCATGCTCCTTACAGAATTGTAGGAACTGTGAATCTGTGTACTCCGTACCATTTTCAGACCGTAAACACTTGATTTTTTGTCCTGTTTGGTTTTCTATCTCAGCTTTCCACAGCTTGAACATCTCAAAAACTTCAGATTTTTGTTTTAAAAAATACACCCAAACTTTCCGTGAAAAATCATCAATAAAAGTAACATAGTACCTAGATCCACCCAAAGACGATGTCTTGGAAGGCCCCCATACATCAGAATGCACATAATCAAGAATCCCTTGAGTTGTGTGCTTCGCAGTCTTAAAATGGACTTTAGTCTGTTTACCAAGAACACAATACTTGCAAAAATCGAGCTTACAACTTTTGACACCACGCAACAAGTTTCTCTTGTGTAATTCTGCCATACCACGTTCACTAAGATGAGCAAGGCGCATATTCCACAATTTTTTCGTATCATCACAGGACTCAACAGAGTGAACTCCACCTGTAACGGTACTCCCTAACAATCTGTAGATATTCCCTGCAGTCATCTTGCCTTTCATCACAGTCAATGCTCCTTTAACAATCCGAATGGTTTCCCTATCCTCGTCAGCCTTAGGGATAAAACCATTCTTGTGCAAAGTGCCCAAGGAAATCAAATTCTTCTTCAAGTCTGGGATATGTCGAACACCACTCAACGTCCGAACAGAGCCATCGTGCATCTTAATTATGACATCACCAATACCAACAATATTGCAACATCGATCATCACTTAAATAAACTGAACCAGAATTAACCGGCCTGTATGTCGAAAACCATTCCCTATTTGGCGTGATGTGATAAGAACATCCAGAATCAAGAATCCAAGCATCCTTCAATTGTGTCGTTGAAATAGAAAGCATATCACCCTCACTGCAATCAAAATTATCATCCTCGACCACGTTCACAGACTTGGATGAGCCATCACGCTTCTCATCAGTCTGCTTTTTCAACTTTGGATAGTCTCGCTTCATATGTCCCGCCTCCTTGCACTTGTAACAGTGAATCGTCTTCTTATCCCTGGATTTGGATCTGGAATTCCGCTTCCCGGACCCTGGCTTCTGTCCACGATCTCGATTACCCTTGACATATAAGCTATCAGCTTGAGAGCTTTCCCCTGCATTCTGCTTCCGCTGGTTGTGAGCCAACAAGGCTGCAGTAATCTCCTCAACGTTGATAGTCTCTTTCCCATATGTAAGAGTAGTCACCATGTGTTCGTAAGAGGGAGGCAACGAACACAACAAAATCATCGCTCTGTCTTCATCCTCAATATTTACATCAAGCCGAGCCAAATTAGAAACGATTTGATTGAAGACATTCACGTGTTGCACCAAATCATGATCGTCCTGCATCTTCAGCCCATACAGCTGCTGCTTTAGATACAGTTTTGTCGTTAAGGATTTGGACATAAACTGACTTTCCAACTTCCTCCAAATTTCGTCTGGAGACGATAGATGCATGACGTGATACATAACCTCGTCTGCCAAGCATAATCGTATGGTTCCTGCCGCTCGTTGTTGCAATTCTTCCCAATCTTCCTCCTCCATCGACGCCGGCTTTGTATGTCACAAAGCCTTCAGTATCCCCTGCTGCGCCAACAGATCCTTCACCCTCGTTTGCCATAATCCGAAGTTACCCAGACCATCGAATTTTGCAACTTCGAATTTTGCTCCTGACATCTGATACCAATTGTTGACGAAAACGGGTAAAGAAAACAAAAGAACACGAGAATTTTACGAGGTTCGGCAATGTGCTTACGTCCTCGGTGCCTAGGCTGCGCTAGAAGTTTTATTCAATGATATTTTAGGTCTAGGTTACATCTCTATTTATAATAGAAAACCCTGGTACATAATTACAAAATTAACCCTGTACCGTACCGCGGGGCCGCAGCCCCCGCACCCCCAACCCACATAATTCGTAACCCCACAACGAGATTGGTATATTTATGAGCCATACCTAACACTAACTTTAGCAAAGTGACCCTGATTTTATTATTATTATGCTTTAGTAAAGTCTTATCAACTTTTTTGAGTATTCAACTTCAATAATTCTTAAGCTTGTCAAGAAGAACTTGTTATAGTCTAAATGTTACTAAAAATCTAGAATTTTATTTTTATAGGTTAATTTCCCAAAAAACTGACAGGTTTATTTCATCAAATTCAGCACTCCATTTTTAAAGATTATGGATTGTCACTGAATGTCCCAAATAGAAATAAAAACTAATCAGTCTTGAAATTTCACAAACAACAAATGCCTCTTCTTGTTTGCTTCCAATAAATACTTGAACGTCTCGATTTTGACAGTTTCATTGTGGAATGAGAAGGCTATCTTCGTGCATGATGGAAAAGTGGTGTTATATTTGATGTAGCTTTTGGTGAAAGGCCAACTCGTAATATACAAAAAAACTAAAACCCTGATTCTTAAAATAACACTTCATTATATTTTATATGCACTGAACTTAAAGAAAACACTCCTCATTGCTCATAATCTAAAAGGATAACATTTATTCACAATTTTTTTTAAAAAAATTAAGAAAATAAGGAAAGAACAATTTGAAACAAGATGAGATGTCTTTAAGTTGAACAAGTCTTCATCGTGAGTGAATGGCAATATTTTCTTAGCTCATCTTAGATTGCCTCATTGGCAAAAAATTTGAGATTCTAACTTCCTTTCAAGATCTTCATTAGTGATTGTATGGTGGAATCATCTATTGGCTTCTTTCCCTTAATCAAAGTAGCCATTTATGTTCATAAATTTGGAAATTCTATCCGTTAATTCATCTTGGAAATTCTATAAATGATCTCTAATCTCATCCTACATTCTAACCGAATGTTCTTGAAATCTCTTGATTCTATTTATCCACGCTACTATTTTATTCATGACATTCACCTTTATCTAGGTGTGATGAAAGCTCTTTTTAAATATCTATCACGAAACCTTCCACGAATTATTGAATGCATGTTGTATGAAAAATATCAATTCAAGTGCAGAGAAAAAAATTAAAAATACAATGATGCATGCATCAAAGTTGATGATCGTGATAGATAGACTTCCCCACCTAACCCAATCACATGATCAAAGTCGTGGCAACTCAAGGCCCAACTACATTTAATCGTACAAGACTTTTGTAAGGAAATATCTTCAAACCTTCTTGAAGAATCAACAATTCAAATAATATTACCATGGATTTCAAGAAGGAAGCCCAAGTAAACACCTATATGCTTCCAAAGATAAATGGGTCACAATTTCACAACTAGCTACTCTAAGTAAAGCACAAGCCTGGAGGAGAAACCAAAAATTAATTTTGAAGTCCATTAGTTGGACTAAATAATGTAATAATTCAATCCAAAGCTAGACTATGGAGCTTGGTTTGAGTTGGGTCCTTAAACCCAACAAAAATCTTTATTTTCTATTTTTAGGCTTTATTTTTATAATTAAAAGTTCATGTGATTGAAACTCTACTTGTTGGATATATGATAGAACAAGGGTAATGATTCATTCACCCCAAGTTTTTGTATCCAACATAGCTTGCAATTTCATCCATTTGATCTAGGAGAGATTAATGGCCAAGATATAGTTGGCCATCTCTATTAGGATTATAGGGTTTTTCAACTTTGTTATTTTGTTCTAGGGTTAGGTACCTCCTTTTCTTATATAAGGATTCCACCCTTCATTGTTTTTCATATCTTGAAAAATAATCTTCTTTCATATATTTTTTGAGTATATTTTTGTAAGTTCTTTTACTTGTGCCTTTAAAATTATCTTGAACATGTTCTAATGTCAAGTTTTCATGATGAAGCCATCTTCAGACTTCATGTTGCCAAGATAATTACTTCTTGGAGGATTGATTAAAGCCTTTGATGGAGTTTTCTAAATAATTTGTGATTTAGAGGCTTCCTAGGACATCTTCACACCATTCTTCAGTTCACATTGGATTCAAGCATCTTATCCTTACTTTCTTGTTCATCTTTATTACTTTTACCTTTCCTTGTTGTTTTTGTTATTTTTTTGTTTGTATAATTTGCTACAAAATTAATTCATTATATTCAAGGGTCTACAACCTTGTAGGGAGAATCAACTTGACAGATCAATCATCCTCCGTAGCAAACACATCATTTGGTAACATATTTGGGCATTCTTGGTGGCTTCTTGAAGTGCTTCATTAAGTTTCTTGCCAAGAAAATGATTGTTTTAATTATTTTTAGTTTTCCTTCATTCTTTCTTCTTAGGTGGCATCTATTAGTAATATTATATCACTTTGTTTCTCAACAAGAAAAGAAAAATAGAAAAAAGGAAAAAATTCAAAAAATAAAAAATAAGAAACACAAAAAAAGTAAAAAGCAATAGAACAATTAAAGGAATTTTGATCCCAAAATTTCCATATCATAACTACGTATATAATTAAAGGAGACCACACAAAATTTCAGATTTTTTTTTTTACTTCGGGAACAACTCAAACTAAGTTCATCAAGTTACTTCGTAGTTTTTTTAGATTTTTGGGGTATTCTACATTTTCTTTCATTTTTAGTCTTAGATTTCATTTGTTTAACCTTTTTAGTGATTCTCATGCGCTTTTTAACACTTTCTTGATTCTTGTGTTAATATGATATAAAAAGTTGCATAACTTCTTTATCATTGCAACTAAATTGAATTGGTTTCATTATTTTCTTCGACTTTTAGTGCTTCTATAGTTTTTTGATAGAATGATATTCATCGATAACATGTCATTGATAAAAAAAGAACACAATTTCAAGTTTATAAATAATTGGGGTTTATAGTTTATTGAAATATCTTTTAAAAAGATATTATGATATAAATTGGATGCTGATAAATGATAAACTTTTAGTGGTTATGTGTTTATTATGAGTAAAGTGGGTTTTGTAAAAGTTCGTAAAAAATAAATTTGTTTTACTAACTCTACTATGAATATCAGATGATAACTCTTTGCTTAGTCAAACAAGAGTATAAATGATTTAGGAATCTATCATATTGAGAATCATTACAGGAAAAAAAATTCTTTTTTAGTCTTTGTATTTTTACTTCACTCATAATCTACCTTAAAGTGAGCAAAGCCTAAAATAATGAGAGAAGACATAAGTCTTTAAAATAAATAGATAATACTCATATTGAAGCATGATATGATTAAAGAAGATTATACTAATCCCTTGTGGTTTAAAGGAATTGGTTCATGATTTTTTGAGTGAGATAAGTTTTAAGCCCATTTGGTTCAGGAATTCATGGTGGATGCCCATCATAGTTTTTTAAGTTCCATGTGGTCAAACAAAGTCACGGAAAAACTTGTAATGTACATCTTTACCTATCCCTATGGAAAATAATGTAAATGTGTAAGGTTGTGTTTTTACTTTTAATGGAAGCCTTGTGTTCTTAATGAACTACACTCGACCATGTTGTTTGTAGACTAAGTAGATATATTCACAACCCAAGTAACAAACATTAGAATGCTCTTAAGAATATATTGAAGTATCTAAAAGGTACTATAATTTAGGGTATACAATTTGTTAGTTATTTAGCAGTCCATGAGGGATATTGTGATATCAACTGGGTAACCAAAAATGATTAGGTCAACTCCACCAATGGTTATGTGTTCACTTTGGGAGGAGCAAAAAATATCTTGGAAGTGTACCAAACAGACATGTATTGCTTGTTCCACCATAAAATCAAAGTTTATAGCTCTTAATTTAGTCGAGCATGAACATGAGTGGCTTAGGAACCTACTTGCAAATATTACTTTATGGGGAAGACCTACGCCTCTCATTTCCTTACTATGTGACTCACAAACAACAATGTGTGTTTCTCAAAACAAAGCCTACAATGGTAAGAAAATGCCAGTAAGGAATCTGTAAGATACTTAATAAGGAATAGTGTACTCACTATGGAGGATGTGATGTAACACCCATTTCCAGTATACGTTTATGTACCCAAGTCATAGGTGTCACATGACTTTTAAAAAAATTCACCCATTTGTAAAACCCATAAAATTTTGTTTCATAATTTAAAATCAAAACATTTTAGTACAAAAATAAAACAATAGTAGAAACATATTACCAAAGTCGCTTTAAATACATTCCAAAGCATTTTTCTTAATTTCGATTACATGCCAACAAATTTTGAAAATAAACATGATTCTCTTACTGTTACTGATGAGAGTCAACCTTAGATTGATGATAGCTACTGCTACTGCTATACTCCTTACTCGGCTAGTCTCTGCTTTTACCTACGCATGAAATCAACACACGTTAAGTATTTACTTGGTGAGACATAATATTGTAAAGAATTTGCAATTTATACATAAGTATCTCATGACTATTTAAAGACAATTTAATTGCATACTCCATAAGGATCATATAAATCCTTCTCCATTAAACCATATTTCTTTCATACAATCATAAAAATTATTCTTAGTAGGTCCAACATACCTATCCTTTTGTATATTTTCCCAATTATTCTTTATTTGCTCTATGCACGTTAAATGAGAAACTAATGTGCATGTATTGCACCAAAGTGCCAAATGGTTCTTTATCCTTTTATAATTATCTTGAGCGACACCTTATATCTCGTTAATACACCGTTATGTATTGCCATTTGTGGCATCCTTTCATGCCAATTATGCACTGTTATACATTTTCTTTTATGGCATCCTTTCATGTCAACTATGTAATATTCCTCACCTAAATTTCATTAATGGCAACTTCTGCCAAAAGTGCACCGTTAGACTTCTAATTTGCATTAATGGCACCTTTCTGCCAAAAAGCACATTTAGCATCTAACTTACATTAATGACATTTTTCTGCAATTTTGAAGTTACTTCTTCAAAGTCGAGAACTCTTGAAACAGGCTGCGAATGAGCATTGGCTTTAAATGAACTAGTAGGAACATCAGATGCACCAGCTGTTCCTGACCCCTTCCCAAAATTATAGCACAAAATCCATTCTACCTGCAGGTTTCTTTGATTTGGATCCAATAAATCTGTTATTTGCTCATTGTATATCTACAAAAGAAAATTGAAAATGAAGTGATAAGGAACAAGAATAGTACAACGCTAAGCAGTTCAATTAAGTCAAAACTAAGAACCAAAATAATTCAATTATGTTTATCAGCATGCTTAATTCAAAACTTCTAAACGGGAAATATAGTACAACTCAAATACCCACCTTGGCAGATGGAACTCCAATTACAATCCCTCTAAGGTGGGAAAGACGGATAATAATGCATAAAGTATGGAAACAGGAATTACTCAATCGCACTGATTTAGCAAATTAGATTACTAAATTACATACCGATCAGCTGGTAACCACAGAAGTCACATATTAGTTAAATGTCCTCGGGAATAGACTATTAATAGTAATTTAACTTTGAAATAGGCTTGTGATGCTATATGCATGAAAAATATAATACACAAAGGATATCATAAAGGCAAAAACAAGAAATTCATAGATCAGTTAAAAGCATAGCAGTAGAGCCCCAAACAAAGGGAACTAATTAACAACACATAAAATATTAGGAACAAAAGGCATATTGACAGTGGAACTTACATTTTATTAAAGAACGTTTTTAATAATACTGAGAATTAAGCTTATTGATTACAAATAATAATGCATTAATGCTTACCTTTGGGACAGGAACTACCCATGTTGCCACTGCCTTCAAGTCTAAAAATAAAATTAACAACAAAAAAATTCAATGAGAATAGACTCTAACCAATTGATTAGAGAGCCAGTGACTAATAAAAGCTAACATACCATGGTTGCAAAAGTCAATGCCAGGGAGAAGACCCTCCACCCAGACATTTTTTTCTTGTTTCGATGTGGAAGTTGCTCCATTGACTTTGTTATCATTCTCATGACCCTCAAATCCTGATATAAACCCAAAATAAATAAAAATCTTTAACCTCAGCTTCATGTTAATACAGTAAACTTTCACCTGTGAAAGCAAATAAGAGGAAAGATCCAGGTAAAAAAGTGGTAAGAACTAAAGTGTAACCTCACTTTTTCCATCAATTTCATTAACAAGCTCTCCACTTAGTCCACTATGACTGATGGTCACCTCAGAACTTCTTTCAACTAGACAAGTTGTCTCGGTATCTTCTTGAATTTGGGGAAACACATAAAAATGTGCAAGAGGAAGGTTCAGAGCACGAGACCAACATATAGAATTCGCCCTAGCATTACAGAAATTACACAGTATTAACCACTAAAGTTCGAAGTGCAATGAATGTCATCATATCATAGTCAATCTCCTTAATTGTCCCAACCCACCCAATTTTGAGAGAGAATAAGAAAGTGTTCATTTTGAGGAGATCCCTACCAAAGGAAATCTTCAAAGAAGACCTCACTACAAAAGAAGCATTAACAACAATTCATAATTGGGAAAAAGGAAAATAAACACATTTGATTCCTACTTGCGATGTGTAATATCGACCTTTCTGAAACGTAACTGCTCGGTAGAACTAACATATAACTTTATAGTTCAAACGGAACCAAAATAATCACTCTTAAGAAACAAAAATCTCACCAGGAGGAAGACTCCAAAGCCATAGCCAAATACAAATAGAATAGCACCGAGTCCTTTCAAAGCAATAGCGGCCGAAACTAATTTTTAAATTATCTAATGCATCCTGAAGGTAGAGGTCTTAGCTTTGTTCGCTTCATTTTGCATCATTATTTATCTCAAAATCCTAGAGGAATGAATACCATTGGTTAACTAAAATGTCAGTCTATCTAGTTAATTCATGAAAGTAACTTAAAATACAACCACCATGCTGTCACATCCTTGCAACATTGACCAACTCAAATATAGAAAAACATAGTGTTCAACAAAAAAGGTAAGAATAAATTACAATTTTCAAGTCATGTATTCGATTCCTAGAATATCAAAATTTATAATTGTTTCTTTCCCTATCCCCTTTTGCCAGGGTACTTATCTATCACTTTTATCAATAAAGCTATGTCGATGGATTTAAATCAATAACTAATGAGATTTTGCACCTAAAAGCTATGTCTGTACATCTGTCCTGGTCCTAGTTTCTACCAAGGTTAATAAAAAGCAAAGAAAAAATAATGTCAAAACATAAGGGCCTTTACAAAAGTGCAAGCTTTTGTACCTAAAAGGTGCATATTTTGTTATGAAAGAATTACATGAAAGACAAATATCAAGAATAATAATGCTTTTCTCCAATTTTTTCACATTTCCTTACAAAACATACTTCCGAATATCTAAGAAATAATAATTTTATCAAATATCTAAGAATCCTTAACTCCTCAAGAAAATATTTAAAAGATTGTGCATGACAAATAACCTATTAGTTAGCATTCTAAAATTGTGCATGACAAAGCATTCAATGAAAACAATCAAATATTTAAAAGACAACCTGATTCAACGAATTAGCCGAAGTAGCAACCATCATGGTTCCAGCACAAGTACAATAAAGACCCACCAAATCAATGGCATCTCTACTCCGTAGCATGTATCCAGTCCCCGAAGTTGCCACCACCAGCATACTAGTAAATTGAACCACCCAAAAAAAGTCAACTTTTTTAATCAAACCTTTAAATTTGCCTAAAAATCTTAATTAAGGTTTGACCTGAGACGAGCCTTGGAGAGCTCCCAGTAACACCGACCGTAGTGATGAGCCAGCTGGATCGCATCACTAGCTTTGAAAGTTAAAGGCCGAAAGGCATCAGATTTGTTAGCGAGAAACCCTAGCTTTAAAATGGAGTCCGATGAGGGAGAGGGAGAAGGAGAGGGCACCGCCGATGAGGAGTAGAAACGTTGATGAGAAGGAGAAAGTGTTTGGTCTACAACGGCATTTGGAGTGAAAATTGAGAAAGCAAATGAGTAATGGAAGTAATTGAAATTAGTGGAGGAAGAAAAAGCAGGAAATGATGAAAATAATGGGGGAAATTAAAAAACTACTTTTACAGATGACACACAATTAAAAAGTGTACTCCGTGTTTTTGTAAATTTTGTGGATTATGACTATTAAATATGACACACATTATTGTAAGTCATAAATCGTACAGATTTTTAAAAAAATAACATTTTTTATGACACATTTTTTGCAAGTCATAAATTAGCGTGTGTCATCGTTCGTGTGTCATTAAAGGTATATTTTCTTGTAGTGAACCTAAGTGAGTTTTAGATAATCCCAATAGTCCATTAAAAAGCTTTGGTTTATTTGGGATTGAATTTGGCTTGGATTGAGCCCAAATATTCATAAAAGGGTATTGTTGTTTTGGGAACTAGAAAGAAGGGACCATGGAAGTAAATACCCCATTTATTGTTTTAAAAGATGAATTCCCTTAATTGTGGTGAGGTTACACGGCATGAGAAGAGGATGAAAGTTGAAACCCTTTTCATCCTCATTTTTTCACCCTTGTTATCTTCTATAATTCAAAATCCACCTTAGTTCTTCTTTGTATCTTGGGAAAAGTAAGTATCGTTGTTTCTTTGCAAGTCTAGAACATAAATCTCAAGATAAAGGTTGAAATATTCTCATCTTAAGTTCTCGTTCAATCTCTTTTTCTCCTTCTTTGGCCATGGTGGCCATAAGTAAAAGTTTATAGGGATTTTATAAACTCTAAGTAATATAGCCTATTTTTGGTATTTTCTAACTTATATGAAGTTTCCCTAACCTCCTTTCAAGTTCTAAGATGAGTTAATGACTCATTTCCTTGTTTGTGATTAGTAAAAGAGGTGATAGAGTGCTCCAAGAGCAAGGACAAGGAGAAGCTTGTGCTTGGTTGAGTTTTGGTTATTTTCCAGTAGCTGAGGAGCAAGGTAACACACTTCTAACTTATCTATACCACTTATAGATCATTAGATGTATTTGACTTGCTTGTAAGCATGTAAGTGCATTGACACACGTCGTTTTCACGTCAAAACAATTCTTTAATCCCTAAAGAAATATAAAGAAAATATAGAAAGTGGAAAGTAAGGGTCGATCTGACAGAGACTCTGCAGTTTTTGATTCAATTATCTTCTTGTTTTTTAACGGTAAAGTTTAGATAGAGATGAAATTTAAGGAAAAAAACAAATAAAAATATAAAAATAAAAGATGAGATAAGAATAAAATAAGTGAGGGTTTGAGTTAATTAAAATTTTTTAAAGAAAAGATAAAAATGAAGTAGAAAAATTATAAATAGAATAAAATAATACTTACAGTTTAAAAAGAAGACTTATTGTAAAAAGTAGCCTCAGGCTTTCAGCTTTGACTAAGTTTCCTCGGATAATCGAAATAGATCTTTACTTTAGGATTCATGTCAGTTACTTGTCTACAAGGACAAATCCTCGTGACTATGCTTTGTATACCGAATACTCAAGCGCAATCTTTAATATCGGGTTGTCCATTGATCTAAGCAACGACAATGTTGTAGATCTAAAAACATTGAGGCTCGAAAAGCTACCCACTCGGATTATGTTATTTCAACTGTTGGGACAGTTGGCGCACCCCATGGCGCAGCGGAAACAAAAACTCGACGGTCTCACCAGCGATCCAAGTACGAAAAAAATGAAATCAGGAGGAAGGGATGCGAATACTTACAGCGGGTTCCTTGAAAAACAACAAGGACAACAATGAATACTGGTGGTGTAGATCGGTTCGAATCGTAAGCCTCCACGAAATCACGTCTCGGCCTCTACTCAGTTCACCCGATTGAGAGCAATATTTTTCTTCCCCAAAACAGTTTTGAGAGAAAAACGGCAGAAGGTTTTGTGTGTGTGTTCTAAAACGGCTTCTAGACACACCCTTTATAGCCAAGTTACCCTAATCATATTAGGGTTTTATTATTTCAAATTAATTAAAACTATATTTAATTAATGGAATTTAATAATCCTTTTATATCCAAGTTACCCTAATCATATTAGGGATTTTTTATTTCAAATTAATAAATTATATTTAATTAATTGAATTAAATATTTAGGATTATAAAATATATTTAATTAACTCTAGATATATATTTAGTAACGTACAACAAATTGTACATCTTTGCTCGTTTCATTCTAGGGTGTGGACCTTGTAGGTTCTTGTAACGTTAGTAGTAATTATTAGATTATAATATTACATACAATGAGTGACATCTAGCAATATATCATTGTCACCTAAGTTACAGAAAATATGATTCGACATATCTCTTGGTGATAACTCTTTTAGTATTACATACTAATGTCCTTTATATCTAGAATAGGCACAAGTATTGGAATAGTCAAACTTGTATAGCCCATCTATTGTTTCTTGATATCTATAGTAGACTTTAATTAACGAATAGTTTATGATATCTCATATCAACTTATTCGAGCATGGCCATGCGTTTCTAGTCTTACTCAATCAAGTGGCATGTGATATATTTCCTATTATGTAGGAAGGACAAATCCTATCTTAATCATACACACCCACTACATATATTGAGATATATTCAATAACAATCTTTATAGAGCAACCAGTTACGGAGCTTGGTTAGCTGCATCAAAACATACAACAATATATGTTGGAATAGTATTGATCTCAAGTCTGAGGATCATACATATAGTCATCACCATGAGCAATGTTATGACTGTCACATAATAATCCAAGACATATGCTCATGGTCGGTAAATCCAATACATTGTTCTCTAACAATATAATCATGTATCAATTCTGACATATCTATGTCAATGACAACTCGTTGTCATCAATCAATAACATGTTAGTCTTAAGCGTATTATTATTGTCCATGCCCATAATAATACTTGACTAGGGATCTTTTAATAATAATAATTATGTCATTATATGACTTTATTATCTTCCTGTTTATATTAAACACATATATATAAATAAAAATAATAACAAAAATTCCTTTATTCAATAAAATCGGTAAATAAAATTATTATTACAATCATCATATGATTAGTCATTGGGCATACTCTAACATCAACAATAACTGGTTCCGATCTTAGTCTCCTCGTAGCAAACAATTTTGCTAAGTGTGTTACAAGGAATTTGAATGTTCTTCAATAAGCCGACCCTTCCTCCCACATTAACTATAACAACATCCATACCAACATCAATTTTTTTTAATTGTTTTGATTTGAAAATATGCCATGAAAACTGAGAGAGATGTCCGAAGCGATTTAAGTACCTTACAATTCTCGCATTTGGAATTGAGTCATCGCTTTAGCCTTCGACTTAAAATAAAATTAGCTAAGCATGACCAAAGTCATACTAAACATCTTTGAAAATAAAAATAAAAATAAAACAATGAAGAACTTTGTAAAAGAAAAGAAAACTTTTATTAAAAACTAGAGAAAGAAAAAAAGTGATTTCTGAATGTGTTCTGATTTGAAGAGACGTGTTTTTAGGCTTACCCTTAGAGGGTATTTATAGCCTTCAAAATCCTAAAAAAAGGTAAAGATAATTTGTAACACACATAGACCGATGCGGGTGATCCAATCCGATCTGAGGTGTCACATTAGGGCCACTGGAGCGACCCACTGTAAAAATCCAAAAAAATATATTTTTTGTTAAAAAGCTTAAAATCGTAAAATAATTTATATATAAAAAGTAGTATTTAACAATGTTCAAAATATAAAAAATTTCATACTCGGATATAAAAACAA